GTCGACGGCGATAAATAAAAAAGACATCCCCGGGGAATCCTTCGCGTACGTGCGCGAACCTTTTCTCGCGGAATACGGTGCGGAGAACAAGGAGCAGCCTGAATTCCGGCGATGTACCGGCGCCGAACGAGCGTGTTCCAACGGGACTCGATGGGAATGTAAATAACGGGGAAAGCTTGGGGGCGAAAACAATTATTCTTAATCGAAACTGCTGGCAAGGGCTGCGGCCCAGGGAAAACACACTTAGACGATTGTGTATGTTCCAGTGAATGACGAGAAAAGAAGCGGATGATTTATCGATGGGGAATTGCACGTCGGTTTTGTCACATTTATTGCGTTAATTAACCCTCTCCACTCGAGAGGTGACTCTCAGGCACCATTTGATTCGATATAACAAAATTACAAAGTGTTATATATAGTATTAAGTTTCGTATAATGCATCAATATGTGAAATATTTATATAAAATAGCTTTGTTTCTTAATTTTCATATGTTTTCTCATTAATTCGTTTCAAATAGTGTCGCCTATGTTTCATTGGAAAATGTCGAATGTTTCTAGTGAAAAGCTTCCGAGTGCAAAGGGTTAACCCTTTCAGTCGACATTTGATTTGACCTAAGAAAATTATAAAATTTTAAATTCAGTATTAACCCTTTACACTCGAGAGATGACTCTCAGTCACCACTTGGTTTGATTTGCAAAATTATAAAGTCTCATATATAATATTAAGCTTTGTATGATGCATCAATATGTGGAATATTGAAATAAAATAACTACCCTCCTTAATTTATATGTGTTTCCTCATTAATTAATTTCAAAGAACATCGTCTGTATCTCATCGGAGAATATTGAATATTTCTAGTGCAGAACTTTCGAGTGCGAAGGGTTAAATTTTTATATAACACATCAACACGTGGAACGCCGAAATAAAATAGTTGTGTCTCTTAATTTATGCAAGGTGTTTCTTTATGTTAGTTGTAAAAACTACACTTGACATTTCATTAGAAAATAATGAATTGTTGAGAAAAATACTCTCGAGTGCAAAGGGTTAATTTTCTCGCTATGAAGATTTCTAGACTAATCTGACAACAATCAATTCATTATCTACGGATAAAAGCACATAATTACTTCGCTATTACCAATGTATTACCTTCAAATGAAATTTCCGCTTGAAGTAGAATTGAGAATTTTGCTACTTTTCTTCTAAATTGCCGATAGTAAAATATTACACGAGCTTAGTAGGGAAAATAAATAGTACGTCAAGGGGTTAGGCTCTGCATCGTGCTTGTTAAATATTTCGTTTCGCTGTGCGATGGAAATGTTATATTTTCTATATCTCTACATCTTTAACTAATTAACAGTAACTAGATAAATCGAAACCACCTATTCCTAATTCCGTCCTTTCGCGA